CAGTGCAATGTCGGTAACTAGTGTAGACAAATGAGAAAAGTTGACAATTTAGCAAACTTAAATGTTAGGTTTTAAAAACTTAACTCTGCATAACTGTAAGAGCAAGACGTGAAAGGTGGAGGTCAATAAGGAGATGCAAGCAGAAACACAAGTCCAGTGTCTCCCCCACCCAAAAATACAACAACAACAACAAGTAAATCCCCAGAGATTCAGACCGCGACTTACTTCAACCCTTTTTTTTTTTTACAATCGGGAGCCTATACTTTGAGAGATGTATTAACTTTAATGATTTTTTAAAATGTTTCTTTTATATTTTAGTTCAGGAGCAAAATGACACGGGGAAGTAACTGAGACTTACATGTATTCAAAAAGTCAAAAGTAACAATGGAGAGATGTTTCCCACGTCAGCTTACAACTCTATTAGAAAAAAATACAAGGTTCATAGCAGAACGAAAGAAAAATTAAACTCAAAAGGTCGCCCCCGCCCCTTTCTAGTTTAGGCTTTTACTTCCAGGTTAGGCTTAGGTGGACCTCGATTTAGACTGTTTCTGATGGTGAAAAGAGTTTTGATCAAGATAATTACCCGCTATACTCACTAAAAGTAATTGGACTTTGCCGTCATATCAACGAGAATAGTTGCCCAAACCAAATTAAAAATGTACTGTAATTGTTTGTTCTTTACCAGCAAATTAAATAACATTTCTTGTTGACAAAACAATGCCATGACATTTTATCAATTTTACAGTGAAAATTCAATTATAACTAAAATTTTTATGTCTAAAAAACAAAGTATTTTATTGAATTATCATTTTGTTCATAAAAAAAAAAGTTACTACTTAATCAACTTTTTTCTGACATTGTTGATTTCCCTTTTCACTTTTCACCATATAATCTCAACATCGAAGACAGTTGGTATATTAGAAAGAAAAGGATATAAGGTGTATAGGATGATTATGAAAATCGTCAAATTGTTTTGAGTTTATGATCAAATTATAAACTATACAAGTTGGAATTAAATGCTTTCTAGCTATCCTAAACAAAAAAAAAGGGGGGGGGGGGATGAAATTGAACCATGAACTAGAATTATTTACACCTCATTTCCCCTCCCAACCATAAAATTGTCTGTAATTCATTATGTCCGACAAAACACCATTCATTTTTTAATTAGTAACATAATATTTACTCATGACAAATAACACAACCTTTTTATTTGGCCTTTAAGAAACGTATTTTCAGTTGACGTTAAGAGTATATATATAGATAGATCTTATATCTATACATTCAATATATAATGTACATTAGTCCCCTAGCTCTGCAATAAGTATCGAACAATGAATTCCGAAAATGTCTCGCTTCAGGTATTGAACGTAGTCACTCTTGCGTGCTTGTTGTATACTTGACCTTCTTAGGCAGGTGTTATGTCGTGTTATGTAGAGGAATTTACTTCAATTTCTACTCAAACCATAGGACACAACTGAATCATTGAATCCCCGAATCACTGAATCAATAAGACAATTTTAAGATCAGTACAAAGAGATTATATTTAGGTATCGATCTAATTGGTTTTGTAAGACTTACTTTTAATTGCAGTTGAACGTAACAAATTATTCTAGAACGATAATTCCTGTATAGAGAATAGAGTCAAACATTATACTGTTGTAGTAGTAGAACTTAAAACTTAACTCTTAAATTCTCCTGAGTTATGAGGAACCTGGGTCTCGGTCCCGACTGATGTCTGTAGTGTACATCTGAAAGACCAGAATTTATTTTCTTGGGATTTGTAACCGTTGTTCGTTCTTATAGACATGGGTCATGGATATATATCTAGTAACTAATATGACGTGTCATGGTATAATCTTGTATCTGCATTCTATTTACACCGGAGCCTCAGCCAGGAGAAACAATGACTAAGTAGATTTTAAATATCTAATTAATTTGCACAACTAAATAGACACGCTAATACGTGTTGGACGAAATTTTCTTCTTCTCTGAAGGGACGTCTGTAATTTAAAGATAAGATAAGATAAAAACTACTTGTATTGCCCACCGGACGTTGCTTTTCCGCCTCAAAGTGGCACTTTCCTGGAAACATGTCGTCAGAGGAGATAATTAGGCCAAGAGGGAAGCAAACAGAGCCTCCGTTGGGTGCTTAAGAACCAAGCCCATTGCACTTGCGGGATGAAAGAAAGTTCCACTAAACATGTCACTATCCACATACCGTTCTTCAAAGTTCGTTTTTTTTTATGGCGAACCCCTGCAAGGCTGATAAGATTTAGAGAAAGAATAAGGGAGTTTCCCCGGTGTGCTTGGCCTCCGGCATGGCATCTAACCCAAAGATCTTGGGACAAGAACCATGGGTAATAGAGATGTTAAAATTCACATCTGTTTGGATGTTTCCCAGACAAAAGTTGTTCAGACAGGCAGATAGAGGTAAGCTTCCGTGTGCCAAGATTTCCAAGAGTCTTAGACTCAACTTTTAAGACGACTATTGTTCAAGTTGTGATCCTGCATGTGTATTAAGGATTGGCCTGTTGAGTCACACGAGGAATAAAGAGAAGTCGAATGAAACAGAGAGGGCATTGCATTAAAACTAAGTTCTGGACTAAATATAGACCAACCTATAAGGTAACTTACCTAAACAATATACTTTGAAACGGTATATTCCAGGTAGAGTCCAATGGTAGTCTATAATCACTTAATAATAAACAACCAAACCAGACTTAGAGTAATGCTAAATCTCCGACTTGAGTGTTTCGACACAGTATGTAAATACATGGCTCAGAACACACTTGTGGATCTTTTGGGCTAAGAAAAGATTTCAGTATTCTTACACACTTGTTCTGTTAGCACGACACTTTCATTCTAAAGCAAATATTTCTCAGCACAGGCCACGGTAAGAAGGGGGGCCTATTCAATAGACCATAACAACCTCGTCGTTAGACACACTTACACATCTGAAGAAAGAAAGAGAGGGAGAAATAGAGAGAGAGAGAGAGATAGTCGAACATAAAAGCGAAAGAGAGCTAGGTAGACAAATATAGAGAGAAAGGGGCTTTAGACAGAGTCAAATATAAAAGAACAAGAAGGCTATAGACAAGAGTCAAATATAAGAGAAAAAGAGGGCTATAGAGAGAATCAAATATAAGAGAGAAAGTGGGCTACAAATAGAGTCAAATATAAGAGAGAAAGTGGGCTATATAAGATATGGCCAAATATAAGAGAAAAGATGGCTATAGGCTGATTCAAACCTATGAGAGTAAGATAGAGATCTGAACAAAAAGTCAATGGTTGTGGTGTAATTTTCCACAACAAGTTACCCACCCTGAACTCCAGGTAGGAAAATAAACTTTCACCATTGTTGACCTTTGACACCTATTCATTGGTTAATCAAAACCGCTGCAATTTCCATTTTCTTCAATGTTTTCTTTCTTTCTTTTTACAATGACTCTATTTATCTTGCAAATTCATCGGCAAAACCTGGAACCTGGACACGGTTCTTGAAAACGGCTCTGACAATTTTTCTATAAATCTGACAGTTGATGAATATATTTAGGAAAAGAATTACTATCTAATTGGCCGTACTGGGAAAGCTCTAGCTTGACCATTATACTTTTCTTTCAATATTATCTTTTAAAATTTAATTTGGACTTGAACAGACACGCCATCGGGTATTTCCGGCGTCTTTGTTATACATGCAATAAATAAACAGAAGTTCGGGGACATTTGGGGCACTGTCTTCTAGAGCTGGATTATCACACTGGCCTATCTTTAGATATTTATAAACAAGGGAAGATAGGGTCTGGGTATACAATCTATCATTCATTAGTTATTTAGATCAAAATGGTCACTAATGCAAAGGTTGGTCAGCTGTTGAAAGTATTTTTCAAAAAATATTTAACTTGTTGACTCCTAGAACACTAAAACTTATAATCTAGCCGAGCCATGATTTAATTAAAAGGCGGGGATTCAATTGGCAGTGTTAGTATCTAAATGTGTCTAAATAGTTTTATTATTTCATTCAATCATAACTTTTTTTATATTGAATTCAATTGTCACATAGACCAAAGAAAACAGAGGATTTCTCCAGAAGTGTCACATGTGTCTGACCTAAATGGTTCAAACAATTTGCTTTCATTAAAATCTTTGCTGAATCACGTTTTATTTTTTATTGGTTTATTTTTTTTTCGGATCACTGATTCTCTATGCAATCCCAGCACAAAGTATTCTGTTTGTTTGTTGAACAATTACACTTAAGATAAAACAAAAATAAATCTACAAATAGATAAGGTAAAAAAATTATTTTATTTCAAATGTTTCAGAAAATGTTAAAATTTGATGCAACAAGTTTTACATTTCATATCTCTTACAAATGTTTGTAAAATTTTGAGAACTCCTAATAATCTAAGTATGTCCAACTAGATTGGATGTGTGGGGAACTCGACCAAATGTTTCTGTTGTATGTCCAACTAGATTGGATATGTGGGGAGCTCGACCAAATGTTCTGTTGTATGTCCAACTAGATTGGATGTGTGGGGAGCTCGACCAAATGTTTCTGTTGTATGTCCAACTAGATTGGATGTGTGGGGAGCTCGACCAAATGTTTCTTTTGTATGTCCAACTATAGATTGGATATGTGGGGAGCTCGACCAAATGTTTCTGTTGTATGTCCAACTAGATTGGATGTGTGGGGAGCTCGACCAAATGTTTCTTTTGTATGTCCAACTATAGATTAGATATGTGGGGAGCTCGACCAAATGTTTCTGTTGTATGTCCAACTAGATTGGATGTGTGGGGAGCTCGACCAAATGTTTCTGTTGTATGTCCAACTAGATTGGATGTGTGGGGAGCTCGACCAAATGTTTCTGTTGTATGTCCAACTATAGATTGGATGTGTGTGGAGCTCGACCAAATGTTTCTGTTGTATGTCCAACTAGATTGGATGTGTGGGGAGCTCGACCAAATGTTTCTGTTGTATGTCCAAATAGATTGGATGTGTGGGGAGCTCGACCAAATGTTTCTGTTGTTGACTTTGGTTGTTGTTTTTCCAAGCTTTTTAATTATTAGCGTACACTTTGTTTGTTTGTTATGTACCAATGTTTTCCATGTTTCGGATGTTCCACAGGACGACGGGGGATGGCAGCGGTCAGGGTCTCGGTCCAAACGACAGTCCAGCGCGCATACCGCACCACCAGACAGCGACACTTGATGGGAAGCTCAATCAAAAGTTGGAAGCACAAGTGTGCAGCGTTTTTGTGGAATGGTGCGAATCTTATCTTATATATCTTATCTTATATATCTTATCTTATATAATACAGACGTTACTTATATGTCTATTTAATAAGAAAGGAATTTTAAAAAAGAAAGGCATACAGAGATGGGAAGACAACATTTTTAAAAATCGACTGGCCTGTCATTGCAAGAGATTCTATTCAAGGCCAAAGAAATAGGAATGGAGAAAAACGGCCGACAGATTACGTGTGATGCCCCGACGGTTTAACAGACTAAAAGACAGGTGAGGTTAAATGGTGGGAAGAAAGCTTTGCACATCAAAGCCGATCCAATCAGATTCTATCCAATCATATTATATTCAATCAGATCCGATTCGATCCGAACAGATGCGATCCTATTGCGTATGGATCCGGTTTGATCTGATCCGATTTCTAGCTAAAGCTTCATACATAGTGGTCTGGATGGTTAAAGTTGATAGTGCTTCGCTCTAATTAAATGAATATCTTAAGCTTTCTAATTTTAATGCTGAACCTAGTATTCAATAAAAATATTTGTGGACAACTTATATTCCATTTCCTGGATGAAAATATGATATTTATCAATGTTTAAAAACATTCATTGCTTGATATCGCCATTAAACAGTTTTCCTTCAAAAGTTGAAATATGCATTAAAAAACAAACATTTTCGTCCAATCATTGCCAGACAGCAGATATAGATTTATAATTTATTCAGGAACTTGAAGCCTATCACCGGAATAATACTAAAATACAACTGTACCGGGAGGCAATGAAGAGAGAGAACTCGTGAAGATGAGCAGACATAAACTAAGCGCACACCTGGCTTTAGCAAACATCCCCGAATGTGACATATGGCCTACACCTGAGCCCTTTTACCCCCTAATTCATCATCTGTTGAAAGAGGGACTATAATCTGTTGCAAAGCAGGTTCAAAGAATTAGACCTGGTTCTGTACAGAGTGCAAACAACCTTTTACGTTTGAAATGCAGGTTTAGTTTTTTTAAGCCATACATATCAAATGAAAATTAATATGATGAAGGAAATAAGCAGTGTTTTCTTTATTTTTTTAAATTATTCAAGTAATTTTTTTAAAGAATTTTATCTCAAAAGTGTTTACCATAAAACTGTTCAAAATAAAATATAATCACAGTTCCCTTATCTTCCGAATTTTTTCGTTTATCCATAAATCCACTTCACATTCACACGCCATATTTTAAAAGTTAATTAATTTAATTTTCTGCCTGGACAACATGAAAGAAAGGACCGCCTCCTCTCTCTTAATAGTAATCTTCCTCTCTCTTTAATAGTAATCTAAGAACAGCTGCTGACCGAGTAGTGTAAAGTGATTTGGTTACGCGAACTGTCAAAGTACCCCTACGACTAAAGTCAAGGCAAACACGAGTTGATGAGATGAGACTTTACAGACAAGATAATGAGATGAGACTTTACAGACAAGATGATGAGATGAGAATTTACAGACAAGATGATGAGATGAGACTTTACAGACAAGATGATGAGATGAGACTTTACAGACAAGATGATGAGATGAGACTTTACAGACAAGATGATGAGATGAGACTTTACAGACAAGATGATGATATGAGACTTTACAAACAAGATGATGAGATGAGACTTTACAGACAAGATGATGAGATGAGACTTTACAAACAAGATGATGAGATGAGACTTTACAGACAAGATGATGAGATGAGACTTTACAGACAAGATGATGAGATGAGACTTTACAGACAAGATGATGAGATGAGACTTTACAAACAAGATGATGAGATGAGACTTTACAGACAAGATGATGAGATGAGACTTTACAGACAAGATGATGAGATGAGACTTTACAGACAAGATGATGAGATGAGACTTTACAGACAAGATGATGAGATGAGACTTTACAAACAAGATGATGAGATGAGACTTTACAAACAAGATGATGAGATGAGACTTTACAAACAAGATGATGAGATGAGACTTTACAGACAAGATGATGAGATGAGACTTTACAAACAAGATGATGAGATGAGACTTTACAAACAAGATGATGAGATGAGACTTTACAGACAAGATGATGAGATGAGACTTTACAAACAAGATGATGAGATGAGACTTTACAGACAAGATGATGAGATGAGACTTTACAGACAAGATGATGAGATGAGACTTTACAGACAAGATGATGAGATGAGACTTTACAGACAAGATGATGAGATGAGACTTTACAGACAAGATGATGAGATGAGACTTTACAGACAAGAGGATGAGATGAGACTTTACAAACAAGATGATGAGATGAGACTTTACAAACAAGATGATGAGATGAGACTTTACAAACAAGATGATGAGATGAGACTTTACAAACAAGATGATGAGATGAGACTTTACAAACAAGATGATGAGATGAGACTTTACAAACAAGATGATGAGATGAGACTTTACAAACAAGATGATGAGATGAGACTTTACAAACAAGATGATGAGATGAGACTTTACAGACAAGATGATGAGATGAGACTTTACAAACAAGATGATGAGATGAGACTTTACAGACAAGATGATGAGATGAGACTTTACAAACAAGATGATGAGATGAGACTTTACAGACAAGATGATGAGATGAGACTTTACAAACAAGATGATGAGATGAGACTTTACAGACAAGATGATGAGATGAGACTTTACAGACAAGATGATGAGATGAGACTTTACAGACAAGATGATGAGATGAGACTTTACAGACAAGATGATGAGATGATGCTTTACAGACAAGATGATGAGATGAGACTTTACAGACAAGATGATGAGATGAGACTTTACAGACAAGATGATGAGATGAGACTTTACAGACAAGATGATGAGATGAGACTTTACAGACAAGATGATGAGATGAGACTTTACAAACAAGATGATGAGATGAGACTTTACAAACAAGATGATGAGATGAGACTTTACAAACAAGATGATGAGATGAGACTTTACAAACAAGATGATGAGATGAGACTTTACAAACAAGATGATGAGATGAGACTTTACAAACAAGATGATGAGATGAGACTTTACAAACAAGATGATGAGATGAACACTTAACTTGAAGTAATAGAGATCGGGGGGGGGGGGGGGAAGCTAAACACAAAACGACTGAAGAGTGTAAATCAGGACTCCTAAACAAATGTAGACTATCTAGATATTAGAAGAATCAGAGTTTGTTTCAAACAAGTTTAGAGTAGTTGACCCTCAGTCATTAACTATGAGAGTCTTTAACGAGAGAGTCTTTAACTTTGACAGTCTTTGAGACTTTAACTTCAGTCTTTAACTTTGACAGCATTTGAGACTTTAACTTCAAAAGTCTTTAACTTTGACAGTATTTGAGACTTTAACTTCAACAGTCTTTAACTTTGACAGTATTTGAGACTTTAACTTTGACAGTATTTGAGACTTTAACTTTAACAGTCTTTAACTTTGAGACTTCAAGATTAACAACTAACAATTCAAAGATATAGCAGGATGACATGGATCCAGCTGAAGGGAATACCCTACTACAGAGTGCAATGGCGAAGTACTGTTACGGCCCTATGCTCCATTGGAAGTCAAAAGGATTGAATCAAGCAAAGTTAAGCCTGCGACGTAATTGTGCAATGTACTCAAAGGTTAATAGGGTCAGATGTCACCGCGTGGAGGGCCTTATATGACTAGTAGTTTGGGAATCACTGCTTAATACTTACAGCTAGACATAATTAGCAGTAGATTGAACGGAGCAAGGAAGTAGGTTGTGTAACTTAGTTGACTAAGTGAACTGCTTGCTTTCTTAGTGACTACTGACTTTTTTTTTCCCACCGTATGGTGCTACCACTATTATAGTTTATTATAAGGGAGGTAAGACAAATATTTGCAAGGTATAATTCGGAAGAAAGAGTTGTCCTCCTTGATCAAAGCATTAATTTTAGTGCAAAAACGTGACTTTAATAATCTGATACGGACAAGGGTAGGAGAGGTGAAAGAATTTGTAAAAAAAAAGATTTTACCTTTTATTAAATTTTAACTGTATAATAATTTGTATAATAATTGAATGAACAAATCTGACCACAGTTTTGAGTCCAAGGAAATAGTGAAATATGTTCTTTAAGTCCTATACCTTCACAACTATTGGTTTAGAGTGTACAGGGGCGGATCATCTGAAGAATCCACCTCAAGCCAAGGAGATGACACACTGTCACTCAATGGCTCAGTGAAAACTTAATAGAAACTGGTGATCAGTTGGAGAGCACTAAGACTAGCAACTATCACGCTATGTAAACCATCCAAGCGTGAGGAACATTGTCTTCCTGACCGATGCCAAACGCTGGGAAAAGCCTGATGCTTCCTTTATTTAAAAGACAACTCAAGACGACTCTTGTACAGCTAAACAAAACAGCAAGAACATGGCTTCCTGTGGATCCCAGTACACATTGAAATAGAAGAAAATGAAATAGCAAACTAAGGGAGAATGAAAAACAAAACAGTAACTTCTCTATCCTAAAGAGAAGAATATAATAGAGAAGAGAAAAAGGGTTCGAAAGACGATTTTCTAAGGATCGCTTAAGACCAACGAAAATAAAAAAGATCTATCTCAAAAGAGAACTTGACATTGTACACAATTTTTCATTGAATCTTTAACAACACATTGCGAAACAAGATTTTAAAATGTGTTCAAATTCAAATAGACTTTATGCAGAAGACGTGATCGTTGTGTGATTGTGCTCTTGCAAAGTTTGTCCTGAGACTTGCTGATCGTCTGGTGAGGCAGAAACAAGCTCAACCTTCTTTTACGTTGGCCTGTTAGTCACAAACTGACGCAACAATTTTGTAGCAATGTGGGACATTTTCCCCTTATTAAATAAACATATCAGATACTTACATTAAGATTAAGATTTTATAACATTACCAAAATCGGAAATACTTTTAAGGTTTGGGGTCGCCGCTTAGTGGGCAATCATAAAAAAAGGAGTAGTGCAAAAAATAAAAAATTAAGATCCGCTTGAATAGAATAAACCAAAAATGGACAAGTCTCATCCGGA